CTGCATACAGAATTCAGCATAACCTGCTCCGTCTGTGGGCCTCTGATCAGTGATTTCAGAGGCCTCTGGGCTTCATCTTTCAGTGTTGACTTTGGTAGCTAAGCTCTTGTGAGCTGTCTGTCTCAGGCCTCCAGATATGTGTGCTTCAGTGCCAGGTGTTTGGGTGCTGGTTAAGTGAAGCGTTTGTCATTTCTAAAAGTGTAAATTGAACGCTAGTAACTGTATTCTGGAGTGTTTTAAGACTGGCAAGTTATGTGCTTGATAAATATGAGTTGATCTAGCTAGAATTTTCCCCTCAAAACTTTATAGAGCATTTCTCAGAGGCTGATTTCTTTCAAAATGCAAGTTCTTATTTTGAAAGTATATAATATATACTTTATATCTTATGTAAATTATATGATTATTTTATAAATATATATTTATATTGTATGATGTTTATATAAACACATATTTATATGTTTATATGGCTAGATATCAAATTATGTTTGGGAAACCACAGAGCATTCCGGCCTAGAGGTAAGAACGAGACAGTCAAGTTCTGCCATAGCTTAGCTGTGAGACCAGGAGAAAGTTCCTCAGTTAGAGACCATAAGAAAGTTACTTAATCCCAGGAAACCTCTCTGTCTCATCTGCCAAAATGGGGATAATGACAGGATTTACCTCATGGGATGATGAGGATTAAATGAAAGTGTATGTAGAACAGTTAGGACAGGTCATGCGCGTTAAAAATCTAAGTGTGGGACAAGTAAGAAAAGTAAGTACAGGTAATCCTCATTTAGGATGTATTCAGGTTACGATGAACCACACTTACGACCATCCTCTTTATTTTTCTGATGCATCTTATCATTAATAATATGTACTGCCTGCAGTGTTGCAGGGCACAATTGTGCTATGATATCATCTCAGATATTCACTTGGAGGTATTTACTTTTATGATCCACTGTTCAAAATACTGCCGTATAGCAGGCTGGAGCATTGCGTCTTCCTGGGAGGGAGTTATGGGAAAATGTATGCAGGGGATATGAAAAAGCTTACTGAGTTATGTGACCACGCTCGAAGCATTGGATCAGGATAATAGGATGGAAGAGATAGGTGGAAAAATCATCCACATGGCAAGAACACTGAATTTAGAACTTGGTATCACCGATGTGGAACAGCTCATAGATCACGAAGAAGGGGAATTGACAGATCAGGACTCAGTGGGTTTTGAAAAGGAAAGAAATGCTGAAGAAGAAAGAAATAAATGAGGAAGAGGAAGGAGAAGTTGTCAAATATTTGTACCACGAAAGGACTAGCTAGAGTTTCTTCTAAACTAAATTAGGGGCTTTAGTTGCTTGAAAACATGGACCCAAATGCTGATCGCTTTGCCAAAGAGTATAGGCAGATTCCTGAAGCAGTGAGATGTTATTGTGAAATATATGAAGAAAAAAAGGACCATACAGAAAAGGACCATCACTGATTTTTTACTAGAAATGCTACCTCCATTCTCAGAGATAATTCAGATGATCCAGAACCTTCCACTAGTGGAGTTATTACCGCCACTGACAAAATGCCAGTGTCATGCAACTCTTCTTCATCGTCGGAGTAAATTTTTATGATTTGTACATTTTTAAATGTATATATGCATTAAAATATATATGTAAGTTTATATATAATGTTTCCAACCCCCAAAGACAAATAAAAATTGGATTCATAAAGAGACTGATAATAAAAGGCAATAATAATGAAAACTAAAAAAAATAGGTATTTGATTTATGTCAGAACTGACGACGGAGTCATTGGAACGGAACCCCTTTGTAGTAAGTTGGGGACTACCTGTATTGGGTTACTAATTATTTTGTCATTGGGCTTTCAATTCTGAAATTTCGCATCCTATTTTGATTTAGTAGATGAAATATATTTGCTCCATAAATTTTTTAAAAGTCAGTGTTATTTTACTAAAGCAGAAACTTTTTTTTTAATTTAAAAAATCACAGCAAGAAGTTTATGTGGGGATCATGTACTATAAAAATTTTTTATGTATCAAATCAAACAACAGTATTTTTTTTGGCTAACAGTATGTTTTGCTCTCAATAAGTTTATTTTGCTGTGTAGAAACTCCTAGTAAGATACACCATATATTTATTATGTTTAGTTTTTGGAGAATCCTTATGTTACCATAATTTTGCAAAAACTTAGAAAAATATTGATATACATGATTCTGTACTTGCAAAAGGGGTGATATATTTTCCATTAACCACCCTACTACTAAATCTTCATGCCTTTATGGAAAGCTGTAAATTATTTTAATTGTAATATTTTGTAAATATTTAATTGTAAGAAAACATAGCGGCTCTAATTTCAAATTGAACACAGATTTTAGAGTACTGTATAGAATATAATGTATCAGTATCCATAATGTATACCTTCAGAGAAGTAGTAGTTATCTATTTTTCATTGTTTTACCATACTTGCATTTATTGTTTTTAAGTTATTTTTTAAAAAAAGATTTAGTGTAGGCTTGTACTACGAAAAATGAATACAAAAAGCATAAGATGAAAAGCAAGCCTTCTCCCACTCTGCCTCCAGCCCCTAGAAAGTCAATCACTGTTAGAATTTTCTTGTCTCTTTCCAGGAATGTTTTATAAATATACAACTGCCATAACCTTCTCCCTCTCACAAATGGAAGCATACTTACTTTTCTGCACCTTGCTTTGTTCTCTTAAGAGTGTATCTTGAAGATCATTCTATATTTTTCTGTTTGTTTAATTTAAATATCAAAGGACTTGAAGCCGGTTCTTTACACTTATTCGATATAAAAACAAAGCCTTAAAAATAAGAAACATAACATCGTATGGTTAAATTACTTTTTCAGTAAATTTATGTGCTAGCTTTGCCTGGCTATGGGAGAATAAAAATACTCTTCCATAAAAATAATTTATGTAATTAACAAATGACATAAACTTGAATAGGCATGAGAAAAGAATAGAACTCTAGGTTTATGTATCATTTGGAATGCGAGGACAACACAAGGACTGGTAATTTGCAGCTTTTCTGTGGAGTTAAAAATGCTAAAATTGGACTGCTATTTTTAAAACGTGAAGCAAGGGATAGAAACCATTTTGAATGTGGGAAAGGATATTCAGGCTAGTCAAGACCACAGAGCTTCAAAGACAGTCACGACATGATTAACATTTTGCAGACTTAGGAAATTGTATTTAAAAATCCTAAGAGGTCGGTTTAATCTCTTTCAGTACAAGATAAATATGCCTGTAAATAGCTATAAACTTAGTAAAACCTTCTAAAAGTGAGAATTTAATAAAATGGGAATATTTAATGCTAAGGTGTAAGAAACTGCACCTGGGGAGTAACATGAATTCCATTTACCCCGTTTCACTCCAGTGATTTGAGCTCTTCAGGTGTGTGTGTGTGTTTTTAATAGTATAGAAGTAACCAATGAGCAGTGGTATGATAAAAAACAACAGCCAAAAATTTAATTAGAAATTAATTAGAACCAGGTCCCAGAATAGTTGTAAGAGATAGGATTCTGTCATTTAGAAAGAACATCAAAAATCCCAAACAAGCTATACAGATCACAGATGACAAATGAGCCATATTCTTAGAGGGACTTCACACAGTTTAATATAATGTTAAAATGATTAGTGATCAATTTCATTGATTAAACTACTTTGAAAATTGATGTACTTCCCTGAAAAATTAAAAATATTCAAGGATGATGTTGAATCTCCTATAAATATGAATGTACAAAAATGAGGATTTTTTTGTTAGTTTTAATTCTTATTGTCTCCAAAAGCACTGGTTTCCACTTTTTTTCTGAAGTTCACACTAGCTGTCTGATGTAATAAGGTGTAAATGAAAAGAATACACCATGATTTATATTCATCTTTAGCTTTATGTTGAACAAACAACTAAGTCATTTTAAAAATAAGAGTTACAATGCTACATATCAAAAGCCTTAAAAATATACATACCCTATAATCTAGTAGTTCTATTTTTAAATATTTATCTTACAGAAATAAACATGGATCTGGACAAAGATTTATCCACAGACATATACATTTCAGCACGTTTATGATAATAACAAATTGGAAGCAATGCAAATACCCTGAAACAAAGGATTTATCAATTAAATTATGATATAATAATATATGTCCATTAAACATCATATTGTTGAAGACCATGAAAATATATTCACAATGTATTGTACAAAAATAAAATAGGTAATAACATAGCATGTTCACATTCACCCCCACCCCAAAAATAAAAAGTACACACGTGCTTAGTGAGGAGACCAGAAAGACACAGACAACAAAATGATAGTAGCTGGTATTTCTAGATTCTAAGATTATGGGTGCGTAATTTTAATTTTATGTTTTGGGCAATTTGGTAAACCAATTATTTTCTACAATGAATGCTACCTGCTTACTTTTCTTGTAATCTAGTTTTACCTAATATCTTTCTTTTTAGTCTGTCTTGCCTGCTCTGAGTATGAAGGGCCTGGCAGAGAGCAGGGGAAGGAGGTGGTGTTGGTTGAATCTTGAAAAGCTGAACATTGAAACCACCAGCTCCATTCCAGGATGAGCGTGCTCTAAGTTACTTAACCCTCTTTGTGGACATTATTTGTGTCTTTAAATTTTACTTTCTGACCCTCATTCATTACATTTATCAATGTTACCCTTTCCTGAAACTTGCAGTGCTTATTTCACTGAAACAGTTGGAGGAGGGCGAGGAATGTAAATGAAGACTACGCAGGCTCTTGAGAAATGCCTGTGCCATGCGAAAGCACAGGGTGTGAGAAACAGGTGTTCCCTCCCCTGACTGAGTCTCAGTTATTGTTTGGGAGGGAATGTTACCGGGGGACCTCCTGCTGTTTGGCCCTTGTCTTTGTCACTCAGACCTCTTGGGTGACTTTTAGAGAATGCACTTTCTCTGTACCTTTTATTGATTAGATAAATGCTTCCAAAGAGCTAATGTTCTTTTTATAACATTGCTTTTTCTAGATATAAAGACCTGAAGATCGTCTTTCTTGTCCAAAGATGGAAAACAGTACCACCACCATTTCTCGGGAGGAGCTGGAAGAGCTACAGGAAGCATTTAATAAAATAGGTATGCTTGAAGAAAACGAAATATGACGTTACTATTCTTGATGGTAGACTTCCAGGAATGGAACCAGCCCTTTTACTGCCATTACCACCGCCCAGTTATCCCAAAGCTTTATTGTTTTTTTTTTTCTGTCTAGGTTTTCCTGGATTCTTTTTTTTTTTTTTTTTTTCTTTCTGAGAGATAAGCTAAGATGGGCTTGAATTTCTAGGTGAATTGGACTTTGAATTCTTTAATCATTTCTTTGCAGAGAGTAATCCAGGTTAATGAATGACAATGTAACTGAATATGCTTCGCATGGTATCCTCATTACAGAGAAAAATACAGAAACAAACACTTCCTTGTGTGTAAACCAAACTCTGGCCTTCATGTCTCTGTTGCTAGCAGTAACGTTTTCTGACTTCATACCATATATTTTTAAAATCTTGGTATTGTTTTGAAATGCTGTATGCTTGAATTTTCTTCTCCCTCATAATGTAATTTTTTAAATGTTCGTATTTTTTAAAAAGATGTATATATTTTTCTTCTTTTACTTTTTAAAGCCATTCATTGTTTTGCCATTGTGACACTGTCATTTTGACAACTTGGTATTTTTCTCCCCCCAAATTTCCCCATAGTCTGTTGGATCTTGATTCTTCTGCATTTTGCAAACAAAGAGAATGTACATACCATCTTTTGCTTTAGTCTGGAAATGCCTGCAGTGAAAGGTGAACCCGGTGAAAGGTGACCGCAGTGACTAGACCTCGGACAGTGACACCACCCCTTGCCCCTTCCCCAGTAGGCTCTTTCTTTCCTGCAGTACATCACTCCCCAAAAAACAGAGTCCAGTGTAGACTAGAGAGGATAGAATGATCCCAGTGTGTCTTGTACTTAGATTTCTCACAAACCTACTGAATAACGGCTAAAAGAATGCCATGAGTTTTAGACCAATACAAAGAAAAAAAGATTTAAGTTTTAAAAAGTAAAGCCCCTCGCCCCCCAGAAAAGGTAAAGCTCTCAGGAAACTCCTACTTGTACAAATCATTGCTATGAAATCAAATGAATTCTGTAAATCTATGGATCCTTCCACATTCCCCCTGCACGGCCATTCCCAGAGTAACTCAAGCCTGCAAAATGCAATCTACATGGTGGTGGAATTAGGCTCATTGTGAATGCCTTCATCTTGGCCTTTTCTTTCTTTCGGGGGCTGTGTGTAAGTATTGGTCATTAGAGCATGAATTCCAGGAAAATAGTATGATTTTCAGAAAATTATTCTTAATAATAAATGTTATAGAGTGTTGTATGCAGTGCCATACAGAATGCTGCCCGGAGTCTTTTTTCAAGACAGAAAATTGGAAATCTGCGTATTTTGTGCATTGCAACAGAGGAAATAATAAGAATGTATTTTCTTGTTAGGTATTTTGTTTTACAGATGTGATTTGGTAGCCTGAATAAAAGTGCTACCTAGGTCATAGTAAAATGAACGAATTAGTAATCTGTTTTCTTTGTTTAGCACACCAACTGTAATCTTTATGACTCATGGACGTATAATCCTACAATATTTATTTAGTGATATTTTGAATAAATAATTCACTGGTGGACCAGTTCTCACAGTGAGATAATTTCCTCTGTGTGACGGAAGTGCTAACAGAAGCAGAATTTTTTACAAGATAAGCTGCTCTTCATGAACTCAACAAGTCATCTGCCACTTTGTACAAAATAACTTTTGTCAGAGACAGTGGGACACACCCAGATAGCCTTACTGTGGGACACTTCTTATGGGAAACTTTGGGGTCACTGGGAAGAATTGAGGGGTTGAAATATTTCTGTTTTGTTTCTTTTTTAAAACTATAAACTTGGAATGGTTATTTAACCTAAGCCTTGACTTTCTCTCGTTAAAATGAAAGTGGTATTAGTAACTGCCTCAAAGTCGTTGTAAGGATTTCATGTAGTAAGGTAAGTCAAGTTCTTAACCCAGTACTTGGCACAGACTGTATGCTTATTAAATGGTGTCTGTTATTTTTGTCACGTCAGACCTAAATCACAGAGATCGTAAGGGGGCGGAGCTGGTATTTAAGCACGTGGAGCTTTCTGTTTTTAGAGTTCTAGCTCTTAACCCTTCATGGCATTTTTACCATGATGGTTAGCAGGTAAATAATCTTGTTTATTTTTTAACACTCCCCACCACTGTACTGGTATAGAAGAAGTAAGCCAGCCTAGTCTATTTCAGAATTATGGAAAAAGGTTCTGATTTGGTAGTGGACTGATAATGAGATTTTGTTCTAAATTCAAAGAAAGCAATATTATTATAATATCAAATAATTTAGCTTCCTAGCTGACTTTTGAGAGTGTAGCAATCTTTTAGTTATTGGTGGATTCTAGGTGAGAAAATTTCCGTAGTTCGGAACAGAATTAATCTTAAAGTTTGCATTTAAGAGCTCACAAGAAAAGTTTCTGCTCTTATTATTAATTCAGTTATAGTGATGACTGCACTTTTACTGACAGGAAAAAGAAATACGGAAACATAGCGACTACTCCCAGAGGAGAAAAGAGAGCCTATACAAGGTGGACCCAGGCAACGAACAAAACCACCCACAGCTCTCTTGCCAACTCTGGGAAGAAGTGTTTTGTGTCACCTTTGTTCTGTGTCAAGAAATAATACTTGGTCTCTAGGGAAAGCCCAGGGAAGGGCATCTCAGTGATGATGTGAAGACGCCTGGAAACCTGTTTCCAAAAGTCCAAATATAGATGTGAAATTATTTCACAAACACCCAGTCTCTAAATGATATCAAACATGATTGAGCCTACATAATGGTATCATAAATACATAATGAAGAAACAGTGAAATACTGACGAATAAAGCAGACCTGCCATGAAATGAAATGTAGAACAGAAATGCCTTATGTGTATTTCACATGATGCACATATTTTATATGGAACATGAGGCCAGCACATCCATTTGGTAAATTACCACGAAGCAGTTAAAGTCTGGCTGGCTGTTCCCTCTGGACCATTGCTGATATATTTCTTTTAGATATCTGAGACTTCTCCATACTTTTAGTTCTTTAAAACTTAGTCGTTGCTAAACCTGGGTTTTCTGTCTGTCAGAGCAATGTTCATACTCTGCACTTAAAATATATACGGTGTTCCTAAATCTAGGAGGATAAACTTTATTTAAATAGTGTACTGCATAGCCTGTGTAGTTCAGGTACAGAGAGATTGCCTACCTCTGAAACAAACATGAAGGTTCTGTATGGCTGTGAATACCCGAAACCACCTTCTCAGCGTACATCTTCAACAAAGAGAACATGTGATATTTCACAGCGCATAATTGATCTTTACAGATATTGATAACAGTGGGTACGTCAGTGACTATGAACTTCAGGACCTATTTAAAGAAGCAAGTCTCCCTCTGCCTGGCTACAAGGTGCGCGAGATTGTGGAAAAAATTATAGTAGCTGCCGACCACAACAAAGATGGCAAAATCAGCTTTGAAGAGTTTGTGTCAGTAAGTAATCTAAGCCTCTCCTGGCTACCGATCAGTATGCTTCAAGCAGAATTTCAGTGATGTCCTTGTTTGCTTTGGTTAAATCAGGCTGCAGAAACCAGAAAAAGCACTGCTTTAAAATGATGATAATAATAAAAAGAACAATAATTATTTCCACAAGCAATTCATCAAACAAAGGAAAAAAGTCATTCTCAAATCACTGGAATGGAAGTCAGGTTTAACTAACAGTGGTACATGCCCTGGTGTACCTACAGTTGAATACAATGCATATTGAGCATCTCTGTGTACAGAATATTTTCAGACCCCACCACAAAGGTAAAAACAACTTACAAGTCTTAGTAGTTGGCCTTGAAAAATGGAATATATGCTATAACTGAAGTAGCTAAGCTATGGAAGATACACATAGAAACTGGTTACTTCCTTCGATGAAGAATATCTTCAGTTTTAGCAGGTGCCACCAGGTGAATTTTGATGCTAGCTATCGTAGCTTTGTTTCATTGTTAAACTGCCTCTGGGCTCAAGTAACTGAACAAGTTGAAAAATAATATGATTTGATCGATAAAAGAAAAACAGATTGTAGAACTACCATGTATTTCAAGCCTCTCAGGTCAAGAGAAATGACTTGGCTAAGTTGCCATAGCCAGCTACACTTGAACAAGGGCTATTGTTTTCTTCCATCAACACAACTATGACTGTGTTTTTCATATGAAAGTATAACCATTAATATAGTTAAATACTTACGAAATACAAATTACCTGGTTTTATTCATTAAACAAAGATTTGAGTGTCTTTCTTGCTAGGAACGCTGCTAGACACTGTGAGTTATGCAGTAAGCAAAAAGAGATGTAGTCCCTGATTTCATGGAATTTACATTTGGTGGGGAAGACAGAATCACATGAATAAATAAAAGATAACCCTGTGATAATTGCTATGGCCCCTCAAAAGTTTGTATTAGAAGGAGTTGAAGTTAGCAGGGAGGCTGAGGGACTCAGGAAAGGTGAGAAGGCTGAGCTAAGTAAGATCTGAAGAAAAATGTTAAAGAGTTAAAGGGAGATGCAGTGGGGGAAATGAATAATGTGCTAGGCAGACAGAGGAGACAGCATATGCAAAGGCCCAGTGGCTGTGGGTATTATGCTCAGGTCAGTGTACCTAGAAGGGAGATGGTGAGAGAAGAAGTATGTTGGAGAAGCAAGTTGGGGCCAGGTCATGCAGGGCCTTTTTATGTTTATACTAATACCAAAACCAAACCAAACCCGTTGCCATTGAGTCATTTCCGACTCATAGCGACACTAGAGCAATGAGAAACCAGTGAAGTGGGAGGAAGAAAGTATGAAGTGACATGATCCGATTTGTATTTAAAAAAAATCACTCTGGCTGCTATGTGGAGAACTAATTGAATTCAGTCTTGCCTGTGTCTGGAGAGTTCGGTAAGAGAGCAATTGGGAGAGGGAGTTTCTGTAAGCCTATGTTATTTCCTATAAGAGCTGACTTATTTACTTTAATGAGTATCCATTTGAGATGTTCAGACAGGAAAATGTTTTCACTAAAGCATTCTTTTATCATGTAGTCAGCTTAGAATTTGTATTATAAAAGATCATGGCAAGGTAAGAACAATTTCACTGCATTGAGTTTAAGCTCAGTTATAACAAAATTTGTTTTAGTGGTTGTAGGGGGCAAACGTTTGTCAATTTGGTGTTATTGGTAAAATGATGCTAGTTATCTGTGTACAGGAGCAATTAAGTGCCTTAAGAACACCTGATTAGTGTTTATTTTAGTGCCATTCCAAATAAACCATGTTGTAAGATTCTTTATGATTATCTAATCCAGGCTCAATTTTATTTGTATCCCATTCCAGATAATGCAGGAGTTAAAAAGCAAAGACATCAGCAAAACATTCCGAAAAATAATTAACAAGAGGGAAGGTATTACTGCTATTGGAGGAACTTCATCGATTTCCAGTGAGGGCACACAGCATTCTTATTCAGGTAACCTACTACTTTAAATTTGATCTTCGGTCATGTATTCATTCAACAAATACCATATTTCATCAAGTCTAAGATGCAATTCATTATAAGCTATACCATTATTTTATGTATCGGGAAAAATACTGTAAACCAAATTATATTACATCATCAAATTTGAAATGTATCTAAATTTTAGTAGAGGGTCAATGAAAAAGAGGAAGACCCTCAGCGAGATGGATTGACACAGTGGCTGCAACAGTGGGCTCAAGCCTAACAGCGATTGTGAGGATGGCTCAGGACCAGGTAGTGTTTTGTTCAGTTGTGCGTAGGGTCGCTATGAGTTAGAACCAAGTCAATGGTACTAACAACAACAAATTTCAGAGATACCAAAATGAAAATCCCAGAGTCACTGAAATCAATGGTTCCTACTATGTGTCAGGCACAGTGCATATCACAGAGACAGAAACAACAAAATGGAAGTCATTTATATTTTAACGTTGAGCATGTTTAATAATGACCTTGGAATGGATTTTCCATCCTAACTGGTGAGGTGACTTTACTTTTAGACCTTGTCTTAGTTATCTAGTCCTGCTATAACAGAAATACCATGAATGAGTGGCTTTAACCAACAGAAATATATTTTCTCATAGTTTAGGAGACTAGAAGTCTGAATTCAGGGTGTAGGCTCTATCAGAAGGCTTTCTCTCTGTCAGCTCAGATGAAAGTCCTTGTCTCTTTGAGCTTCTGCTCCTGGGAGATCTTCATGTAGCTTGGCATTTCTCTTCCCCCATCTCTGCTTCTCTCACCTGCTTGTTTAATCTCTTTTATGTCTCAAAAGAGATTGACTCAAGATACACCCTAATCCCACTTCACTAATGTAATAAACATAACCTAATCCTCATTGACATAATCTAATCCTGCCTCATTTACATAACAGGCACAACCCATTCACAAATGGGATTATAACCACAGGCAGAGATTAGGATTTACAACACATATTTTTGGGGGATGCAATTCAATCCATAACAGACCTGGTCTGGGAGTGGTGGATGGAGAGGCTTAGTGTAAGGACTTTTCCTTTCCATTTCCGGGAGCTGAGATACCTGATTCATCTTTTCTCAAGCAACAGAGTGACTAGAGAGCACAACACTTGATTTGCTTGATCTGATAGAGCCACTGGATTGTTGCCCAGTGGGAAATCTAGAGTCACACAAACTCTTAAGAGGAGGTGGCTTGCCTTACGTTAAGTCTAGTTCTCAGGGTCTAGATGTCTAAGAACCTTTGGCAAGTTCCTTTTATTCATATGAACATAAAGAGCACTGTGCTTTTTAAATTTTTGACAAAAATGCACTGTAACATTCCCCCCTCTTCTTCCAAATCTGTTTGTTACCTCTTTCTTGCTTGCTCTTGATTCTCTTCCTTTCTAACTGCATTTTCTTCTAATAATACACTCAAATTTCTACCACCCATTGTATCTTCTTTCCTCCCTAAGGAGGAAGTAGTGTTAAGAGTGGTCGTCTGTAACTGCTGCCCCCCCCCCACCTTTTTTTTTTTTTTTTAAGTATTTACCCCTTAATCCATTTCTGCCGGTCTTCTACTGGAATGGTTTCCTTAAAACAAACAAACAAATAACCTTTTTATTGAGGTATAGCATACATTCAGCACAGGGCTGTGATCTTAAATGTACAACTCAATGAATGGATGGCATAAACAGTTAAATGCTCGACTACTAGCTGAAAGGTTGGCTGTTTGCGCCTCAGAAGACAGGCCTGGTGATCTGCTTCTGAAAGATCATAGCCTTGAAAACCCCATGGAGCACAGGTCTACTCGGACACACATGGGGTCTTGGTGAGTGCGAATCAACTCAACAGCAGCTAACAACATACATCCACGTGTTATATCCATGTAGCTGCCAACCAGATCAATATATAGACCATTTGCATCTCCATGAATGGCTCCCCGATGCCCCTTCCCAGTCCTCCCCAGAGGTGACCACTTTTCTGACTTGTATCACCATGGAATAAAGGAGCCCTGGTGGCGCAGTTGGTTAAGCGCTCAGCAGCTAACTGAAAGGTTGGTGGTTCAAACCTACCAGCTGCTCTGCTGGAGAAAGATGTGGCAGTCTGCTTCTGTAAAGATTCAGCCTTGGAAACCCTATGGAGGCAGTTCTACAGGGTCGCAATGACTTGACAGCAATGGGTTTGGTTTTTTTGTTTATCACCATAGAATTTTTTTTTTTTAGTTTGTTTAATGAGGTATAAGATGCACATAGTAAAGTGTGTAAAGTACACTAGTCTTAAGGATATGTTTGATGAATTTTTACATGTGAATGCATCCATGTAGTCATTATGTAGAACAAGATGTGGAACATTAAATGGCTTTAAGAAAAAATAGCTTTAATGAGATACAATTCACACACCATAAAATTGATCCTTTTAAAGTATACACTACAGTTCCATGGTTTTTAGCATATTCACAGAGTTGTACAACTATCATCACCATCTTATTTCAGAATATTTTCATCACCTTAAAGGAAAACTGGAGCCCTAGTGGCACAGTGGTTAAATGCTGTGGTTGCCAGCCAAAACGTTGGCAGTTCGAATCCACCATCCACTCCTTGGAAACTCTATGGGACAGTTCTACTCTGAGTCGGAATTGACTTGACGGCAGTGGGTTAAAGGAAAACTGTGTACCCATTAGCAGTCATTCCCCATACTCCACCCTCCCCAGCTTCTGGCAACCACTACTTTACTTTGTTTCTATGAATTTGCTTATCCTGGGAATTTCTTATAAATTGAGTCATATAGTTTGTGACCTTTCTTTCACTTGACTAGATTCTTTCACTTAGCATGTTTATAAGGTTCATCCATGTTGTAGCATGTATCAATACTTCATTCCTTTCTTTTTCCAAATATGTCATTTTATGGATAATCTATTATATTTATCCATTCATCAGCTGGTGAACATTTGAGTTGTTTCCATTTTTTGATTATTATGAATAATGCTGATATGAACATTTGTGTAAAAATTTTTGTGTGGACAAGTTTTGAATTCTTTTAGTTATATACCTAGAAGCAGAATTGTTGACTCAATTGGTAGCTCTATGTTTAACATTTTGAGGAACTGCCAAACTGTTTTCCAGTTTGGCTGCACCGTTTTGTAATCCCATGAGCAACGTATAAGAGTTGCAGTTTTTCTACATCCTCACCAATGCTTGCGATTGCCCATCTTTTTGTGAAGTGGTGTCTTATTCCTGGTTCCTATACCTGGAAAATCTTCCCGTTTCCCTCCCCATCTTCACCTATTGAAAACTTATGTTTCAAGTAATACTTCCTCCAACCAGGAGTGATTCTTTCTTTAAATTCTTTAAAACATTGTGTATATCTTTCTTATGGTATGTGTATTTCCCTTATGTTGTATTTATTTGTATATCTGTTTTGTCTTATCATTACACTAAAAAACTCTTGATGGCAAGTACGGTAGCATACCAGAAAAACCCAAAGCCATTGCTGTTGAGTTGATTTCAACCCATAGTGACCCTATAGGACAAAGTAGAACTGCCCTATAGGCTTTCCAGGGAGTGGCTGGTGGATTCGAACTGCTGACCTTTCGATTAGCAGCCAAGCTCTTAACCATTGCACTGCCAGTGGGCTGCATGGGCTGGGAATCGAACCCCGGCCTCCTACGTGGCAGGCGAGGATTCCACTACTGAACCATCCATGGGCTGCTGGAGGTCATAGTGGTCTTTAAATCCCTGGACTGGTAAGTCCCTGAGGAAGTGTGGTGAGGCAAGAAGATAAGAAGGCAGATTATATGTAAACAAAAGAAATATAAGTGTATGTGTATATCTTTATTGACTCTGTATACATGTGGGTATGAGATGGACTAAATTGGGAGAGGACAGTAAGTGCTAAATATGCCCTTAGGAAAAATACCTAATTCTAGGAACTGGGGCAAAAATGAGGAAGGCCAGCTTGCTATATGCTACCCTGTGGTGGAAAGGGGAATCATTTACTTTGAGGATTTATATTGTTAAACAACTTTTATATTTACAGAATAATAGCAATAAAGCAGTAGAACATCTTTCTTTTAAGTCTCTTGCTATTTTCCCCACTGCATAGCCCAACAACATTTTCTGCCTAAAGATCAAACTACTCACCCTAAATGCCATGTGTTGAGAAGTTAATAATGAAGATGGCTGAGTACAGTGCTGGTACCTGGATTTGTGTCAGCATTCTCATAGTAGAAACTCTACAGAAATGGAACTGTTTTATACATTTGAATAATTCTTAATTGAATGCTGTCTTTCTGCTGTCAGTCACAAATCAGAGCTCTCTGAATCTTTTTTTGGAGTGAAATTTATTGCTGGATATTTGTTTTATTTTTTCCTTATTTAAAAATAAACTTATGGCTTCTGATGGTCTGATTCACTAGCTCTCAGAAGATCTTAGAACCACACTGAATATTTATTGTGCTCATTTAAGATATAAACCTAACTCTCCCCTGATGTATCAGACGAAAAAGTAGAATAGTTCCCCTTTCTCCTTTTCTTAAACTCTTTAGAGTTTTAGTAGGGTTTTAGTAATAGTCATTTACTATCTTTGAGCGGAAATCGAGAAGTGTGTTTCTCTAGTGAGATGGGTTTTGTGAAAAGGGGTTTGCTTACCAAAATGTTCTGTTTTCAAAAGAGGAAGAAAAAGTAGCTTTTGTTAACTGGATAAACAAAGCTCTGGAGAATGACCCTGACTGTAAGCATCTCATACCCATGGATCCCAACAATGACAGTCTTTTCAAATCGTTGGCAGATGGCATCCTTCTTTGGTGAGTTGAGCGATGGGTTAAATGAGCTGTGTTCTGATTGCCTCCGTTGATGATTATTCCATGCAAGCTCTAATTCAGCAAATTCATTGTATTTTGGGAATTAGTTAACAAGTAGATACTTAGGTTTTGAAGAAATTACATCCCATGGAAAATTAAGTACTATGTGTTTTCCGCAACTTTTCTTCAAAGGCAGTCCTGTATTTTTCTGGTACATTTTTTCATCTATTTCCATAATAATGCCAGGAAACTATTGTTTTATTCATCTAATGCATTTTAAAATGTTCACAGGTTTTCTTTTTACACTTTCCAGTTAGAGAGGGTTGAGATTCTTGACTGGGACAGGAACATGAAATACAGAAGGAAAATATACCTCGTTTATGCTTAAATGAAAATAATGTTTTAACTCAACCTTGTATTATACTTGCCTCTTTGCAGTCTATTTCTGCTCCCTAGATTGTAAACTGTTTCAGGGCACATCTTTGTCTTTGTTGTTTGAACTACATATAGTCCCAGCAAACTTCTTTGTACAAAGCAAGTGTCTTATTTTAAGTTTATAAAAATACAGAAAATTTACAAAGAAGAAAACAAACATTACCAATATTCCTACCACCCATAATTAACAATAACTGACATCCTGGCACATTTCCTTCCAGCCTTTTCTCTATGCTTTTACTTAAAAAAAAAAAAAAAAACCCTACCCATGTGAATGTAGGATATCAGATTTTAGGACATTACATATAAAGTATACCTGGACCTCCATCTTCGGTTAAAACCTCTTTCTCTGACCTTCGAAGAAAATTGCAATTATGAATTGAATAAGTATTTTCCTGTCTTTATTTTAAAAGATAAAATATATTATAAAATAAAGAGACAAAATTTATATTCAATTCTTTTAAAAATGTTTGAATTATTGAGATTTTTGAAAGACATCCTATGGCTCCTTATCTTTTTGCCACAACAGTAATTTTAACAGTGTTGATACCACCTTATGAAACTTGGCTTCTTGAGAGTTTCTTCGTTTACATTTCAGGCTGCTGAATGTTGATGATCATTAAATGAAATAAAGATAAGACTCGCATACAGAAAACGCAGGACTGTTAAAAAAAAATTAGGAAGAAAATGCTAAGATTAACTACTGCAGTGAGGGTCAGATTTATCTTAGGATAGGGAATATTTCTTTTTTTTTTTTTTTTTACTAAATCCCTGATGTGAATTACAGTATAATATTTTAAACAAGTGGATTGTTGTAACTTTTCAAAATTTAACTGTGTTAGCTGCTTGCAGAAATAAACTAAAAGCATTTCTGGGAGCCTTAAACTAAATGATTTCCATTTTCTCTTTAGCAAAATGATCAACTTATCTGAACCAGATACAATTGATGAAAGAGCCATTAATAAGAAAAAGCTCACCCCTTTCACTGTTTCTGTAAGTATTTGTCCTTTGCTAGCAATCATGTAACTATACTGCAAAATGGACGGCCTTTATTAATGGTTATGTGGGCCCAGATGAAACCTTTGACTTCACATAATTTTGTTTTCCTATAAAAACTGGATTTTTGTTAAGAATTCAGTTGCATTTTGTAATGAATGAAATTAAAATTCAAAGTACTTTGGGTGTTATTTAAGATAATAGTATTCAGATTATATTACTGTAGTTATTGAGTTACTGTAGTTATTGAGTTACTTTATTGATGAATATTTGTGTGATACCTGTGTTCCTGTTGGTTGGTTGAAAATGAATATTGACTGCATAGTTTACCACATATTTAACCATTTCTCCAAATGTTTAGCTATTCCTTTTGCACTAAGTGGTCACTTTCTCCATTCACACCTTTTTAAAGTCCAGGAGTTTATATTTAGGACTTTTCCCCCTCAAAATCTCTAGATCAAGTGGGTATTAATATTAATTAAACACTTTCTAGGTACCAGTCACTCTTCTAAGCACACTATTTAAATTATCCCCTGACTCCTTCATCAACCCTCTAAAGTAGATACATGGTTTTTACAGATGAGGAAACTGAGGCACTGAAAGGTTACACAGTGGCAGGGCCAGGATATGATCCCAAGTATCTAACTCCAGAGCCTGTCCTCTTAGTTACTATGCTATACTGCCTCTCTTGAGTGGTGGTAGTAATAGCAACTATTTAATGCACTGATCATAACAGCAGCTATTAAAATTGAGGTACTGCTATTCCCTTTATTTCCATTGGTAGGTGCCATCCTTGATTCTGCTAATGTTATTAAGTGTCTTCAAGAAAGAAAGGTAGGCCCTTAGGACAGTGATACATGGTTAGTCTGGAGGACTATCCAAGGACTGTCCAAGGAGTTCTTCCATTTCCTGTCATCCTTGAAAAGTATAGAATTGGAGGTTGATTTTCATGGCCTTCTTGCTCCCCATTTGCCAATAGGCCAATAATGTCGCATATCCCTAACCGAAACTATCATTATTGAAAAAGCCAATTTCCAGTTGCAGTTGCCAGAAGATTATTTTCTTTCACATCTTGTGCCAGGATTCTTTGTCTAATATCCATGATTATGGAGACTATTCATATTCATACATTTTTAGAATACATGTACATGTCATACAATTTTTTAAGGCAGTGAATCTGAAATACAGAATTTTTTTACCGTTGTATAAATTTATCGTTTGGTTTTACTTTTAATACTTGTATGCAGCATATTAAAAAAATAACAGAAAAAAATTCTATAATTATTTTGCAGTAGTTACAGTGTAGGGTTGCTATGAATTGGAATTGACTCGACGGCAACAGGTTTTTTTTTTTTTTTTTAGGTTTTGTTTTGTTTTTACAGAACAGGTATGAAGGGCTAAGTATTGTGCTTTATTTTTAGAGATCAGCACTCTTCAATATTAATAGGGGGTGATAGTTTAGGTTTCTAGGATGCTTGAAAGAGAATGCTAATGTGGGATGAGGAAAGACAGAGGCTTCTGGAAAGTGGCGAAGTGTTACTGTGGATGTTAAATCTGTCTCGTTTATGCAGTAATTTTAGAGCTATGGGAGTAGGTCTGCTAGAAAACTTTCAGTTTTACATGAAACTTGATCTCTAAGAAGCCTCATTCATTTGCAAAAGATTGTGAAGATATAGTTTTTCATCTTATAATACCAGTTTATGTGGTATCATGACATGTGAAAGAAGAGAAAGATAAAAGAATAAAAATGAGTACAATAACAGTGAAAGCAAGGGAAACGGACAGGTCCAATAGTTAAGAGTAGGACTCATTTACAATCTTGGAGATTTTCTCTTCTCTCTTCTGCCCAGTGTACTACTGAGCTGCATTTCTTTGCTTGGTTATCATTATTGAAAGAAAAATTAGTTACATGAATAAGACTCTGAAAAACAGATAATAGTGACTTAGAGGCCGATAAGTCAGGAAACTAACACAAGAGTGGCTATAGGAAATTGAATCTGTTCACTGTAACGTGCAAAAAATCCAGGGTGATGAGTATACTCACATACACTAAAGTGTATTTGTATGTACTTTATATTTACATATATATTCAAACACACATATCTATGGCTTTAATTTTACCTTACATACAATTACAGTTTAAATAGGAACAACATTATAAATCTCATTTGAACATATTAAATGGAGTAAAAGTGATGAGGTATAAAATAAGAATGAAATCTGAATAACAAATCATGCCTTTATTCTTACTGACCCAATAAGAGTACTATAACACAGCCCTCTAAAAATCATTAACAAAAGTGAATTCATCTGGAATTGAATTTTTATGGCAAATGAGTTTGCAAAGTGATATGAATTAAAGGAAAGAAAGCTTGCAGTATATATTTGAGACTGTTAGTAAAGATTTAGATAGTTAATCAAAATAGAAGGGACATACGAAGTCATCAAAAACAGCAGCATAAATCTTTCTACCTGGTGAATTGGGCTACATCTTAGGCACAGTTGGATCCTTGACGCACAAAAAAGATGGCAGACAATGGATGGCTAATCCCAGACAAGCTGCCATGTATGCTTGTGTCTTTTGTTGATATCTCTATAAGGTAGTGTCCTGTTTTACTGATTAGGACACTGAAACATAGGGAGGAACAACACATTCTGTCACGTCTCAATTGTCTGTGGCTCCCTGCTGGCCTTTGCCCACAAACACAGGTCTTCAGGAAGGAAGGCTGGGCACTCAGGGCAGGTGTCTGTAGTAAGACTTGGAGAGCAGCCTCTCTATGGGGCTATTACTTCTCGTTCTTAAGATGTTTTAGAATTGACTTTAGACAGTAGTAACCTTCCTGTTTCCTACTTGGAGCCCTGGTGGCACAGAGGTTAAGTGTTCGACTGCTAACCAAAAGGTCGACAGTTCGAATCCACCAGCCGCTCTTTGGATACCTCATGGGGCAGTTCTACTGTGTCCTGTTGGGTCACTATGAGTCAGAATTGGCTTGACAGCAGCGGGTTTTGTTTCCTACTTACCAGTAGGACAATAATGTTGAATTTACCAAGCAGAAACTACCATTTACTTGAAGAAGCACGTTGCAGTTCCTTACTTTCAATCATTTTTTTTTAAGCCAGTTACTAGTAACACATATGATGTCCTTGTAAAGCCAACATTTTTGTATAAAGCTAATTAAGGTCAAAAGCTGTTTCCCCAAGTGTCACCAATACAACCTGCTGATAAGACAAAGCTGAGTTTGTTGCTTACTATTGTAAGGGAAAGCTTACCTCATAAAGCTTTGACTGTGTGTGGGAGGTGGGAAGGGAAGGTCAGAATTTGAGAATTGGAAGTTCGGTTTAAGGTGGGTCTTTCCATGAGGGAGGAGGGAAAGGGGGGCCTGATGAGGACTAGGTAAGGGTCATGATTGCTATACTAAGGATTTGGACTTGACCCTCTCCTTTCCCTCCATTCACTCTTACCATTTATTCAGTAAATATTTATTGAGCATATACCATGTTCTAGACACTGGGGAAACAGCAGGGAATAGATCAAAGCCCCCACTACCATAGAGCTTACACTGTAATTGGGAGAGCCACAACAATAAACAAGTAAATATACAATATGTCAGACAGTGATAAGGAGTAAAATAGAGGATAGAGAACGGCAGCAGGGGTTGTGGGCATGTTTACTATTTTGTATAAGATGATCAAAGAAGGCTTCACAGATAAGGCTCATTTGAGCAGAGTGCTCATTTGAGCACAATTAAAGGAATTGTGGATATTTTGGGGAAGAGTATTCAGGGCAGAAGGAACAGCAAGTTTAACGGCTCCATGTACATGAAACAGAGTGAGTGATGGGGAACAGCTGAAGGAAGAGCCATGATCAGGTTTATATTTTACTAAGAACACTGGCAGCAGAACATTGTAGAAAATGGAATGGAGAGTAAAGCTGAAGGGAAGTAGGTGTTAAAATGGAAGTTAGAAAACTGTTGAAGAAAAGCTCTGACAATTTCCAGAGGGGTTTAGAAGGTGAAATAAACAGAAATTGGTGACTACATGTGGGAGGCAATGATTCTGTACAGGTTTCTGGCTTAGGAAGAAAGAAGGCAAGAATAAAGGTTGGTCCTGTCAACCAGGACAGAAAATAAGTAAGGAAGAGCCTTATTTTGATGGGATGATAGGACACCAGGGAAATGTGGAGAAAATTGCTTCAGTTTTGGACATGTTGAGTTTGAGGTATTTGTGGAACATAACCAAGTGAGTACATAGGTGTAGAGCTTGGGTTGGGGGAGATATGGGCTGGAGATATGGATATGGAAGTCATTAGCATATACAGGTGATAGTTAAAACAGTGGGATTTTGCTTGTATAAAATATTACTTATTTTTAAAAAATCTAAAATTTCTGCGATCCACTGATTCTTTCTTACCTTCACAGCTTGTAGATAAGACTTCACATGTATTTTTCTTTGTTGCAATTCAGGAAAATTTAAACCTTGCCCTGAATTCTGCCTCTGCAATTGGTTGCACAGTGGTCAACATTGGCGCGCAGGACCTCAAAGAAGGAAAACCTCACTTGGTCTTGGGACTTCTGTGGCAGATCATCAAAGTTGGTCTTTTTGCTGATATTGAAATTTCCAGAAATGAAGGTAGGATCACCAAAAATACTTACTTTTCATTGACACATACTCACCGTAGAAAGAACTGACATTTCAGTGTCTTTCCCTCAGCTCTGATTGCATTGCTCAATGAAGGTGAGGAGCTGGAGGAGCTAATGAAGCTTTCTCCTGAGGAATTACTGCTGCGATGGGTGAACTACCATCTGACCAATGCAGGATGGCGTACCATCAGTAACTTCAGCCAAGACATTAAGGTTGATATTTTAATCTTCAAATTAGTGGAATGTAAAAAATTAGGGGGCTTCAGACTTAAATTTGAATTGAATTTTAAGTCACGAGGACACCTAGGATAGAAAATGAAATTTTACATTTCTCCCTCAGAGGTGGATTCCCCAATTGCAGTCACACAATCTTTAAAAAATATAAACTGATATATTGGCTTTTCATAAGAAATACAGGTGGCTGTGAGAGGAAGGAGGTACTAGCCCCAGCAGATCAAAGCAGTCTTTCCCATTTTATATGCCACAATTAGGCTACATTATAATGAGAATGCCAGTCTGTTAGCTTGGACTGAGAATTAACATCTGTTTGCTGGACTAGAAGCTCTTGTGGGCCTGACCCGTTCAACCAGCTTACTCCCCCTTCACCAATAACTGGCTGACAGGAAAGCAAATTATCTGAAGGTACATGGGATCAGAATGAGTAGACAAAGGGAGTCTTGAGGAATGTCTCTCAACCAAAGTAGCTTGAAACACTTCCCTCCCTACTTAGTGAGACTTGACAAACTGTAGCCTTCACAGCTGCCTAACAACAACTCTACCCTGGTCAGTACCTGGACAGGCATTGCTAGGCTGGGCGTCTGTGACTTTTCTTTTTCTCTTTGCTTTTTTCTACACTAATCGGTACTCCCTCTAATTCATGTTCCATCTTTAAATCTGTTAACACCTTCAGTCAGGTTGTATTTTTGCCATAATGGCCTAGTTGACAATCTCTCTCTTTGAAGTGACATTGTATTTCTTTTGTTAAAAGTTTATTTTGGGGGCTCTCTTATTTTAAAATTCTGTTCATCGGACATTTATTGAACCCTTCCTGAGGGACATTATGCTATAGGCATAGAGGATGCAAAGACATTAAGACACAGATACAACTCTTGAGAAGCTTATCAAATATGCAGGGAGACAAACGTCTAGATGGATATTTCAGTTCTTAATTGCTGCATAACAGGCCACTCAAGATCAGTAGTTTAAAATAATCTGTTGTTTCTCATGATTCTGTGAGTTGACACGATTTATTTGAGTGATTCTTCTGCTTCCCATGGGTTTGGCTGGGATCACTAACTCAGTTGCATTGGGCTGGGCTGGAAGGTGCACAAAGGCATCACTCATATGTCTGGTGCCTTGGTGCTGCTCCACACACCTCTTCACATGGCTAACTTGGGCTTCCTTACAGCATGATGGTCTCGGATAGTTGGACTTCTTATGCAGAGGCTAACTTCAGAGGGAAGGAAGCAGAGCTCTTAAGGCCTGGGCTTGGAAATCTTACAATGTCACTTTCACCGCATTCTGTTGGTCAAAGCAAGTCACAAGGCTAACCCAACTTTAAAGGGAAGGGAAGTTGACTCTGCTTTTGTGATAGGAACTGCATGTATGTAGTGGGAGGAATTATGATAACCATCTTTGGAGACAACTTCGTTGGATGATTTAATAGTGTGATCACTGCCTGTTATCCATAGAGATGATGCAGTACTGTGCAGTATGGAAGAGGGCACTTAGTTCATTCTAGAGAAACCAGGGAAGGCTTCCAGAAGATTACACCTGACTTGCATCTTACGTGATGCTTAGGGGAGTAAACCAAATGCAAAAGGTGAGGAAGGGTGTTCCAGCTGTAGGGAAAAGCATTACTAGAATCTCGGAGGTGGAAACAGCATGGTATGCTTATGGATCTATAAGTGATTCTGTATTATTAAAATAAAGCTACTAAATTATTAGTCCATTCTTTGAGATGGGGGCAATTTCCTCAATTTTGAGCAGTTTTTTCCTAAATTCAGTGATGATTTTGTTCATTTTAAAAATGCTGTTTCATTTTTTTCCTTGAAGGATTCAAGAGCCTATTTTCACCTGCTTAATCAGATTGCCCCTAAAGGTGACCGGGATGGTGGACCCTCCATTGACATTGACATGTCAGGGTTTAATGTGAGTACAGTTTTTAGAGTACAGTTCTCTACAGGCAGCATTCCCTGGTGGAGTCCTCAGCCCTTCATTAAAGCTTGGCCTCTTGCTTGTCAGAAAGTTTGTCCATACCCCAGGCTCCAAGTCTCCATGTTGAGCCACTCGGCTGTCGTGACTAAAAAAAGGAACCGCAGAATTCTGGCCTTGAGTATGTGTGGAATCATGCTCACGTATGGAATCCATGTTTCCCTGGTATAGCACAGCTGGAATCCACCAGGGTGACTGTCACTGTGCACCAGGAAAGGGAGCAACAAGCTGTCACTAGATTGTCAAGAAATTGATTACTTTATCAGTTCTATCAAATTAAGGTCCTGGGTGGCACAAACAGTTTGTTCCTGGCTACTAACCAAAAGGTTGGCAGTTCAAACCCACCCAGTGCCACCATGGAAGGAACACCTGGCAGTCTGCTTCCATAAAGATTACAGCCAAGAAAAACCCTAGGGAACTCATTTCTGCTGTAACACATGGGGTTGCCATGAGTTGGAACTGACTCAGTGGCAGTGGGTTTGGGTTTTTTTGGTTTCTACTAAATTACTTTTGGAAATAACACAAAATAAAAGCAGTTCCTAGTATTTATGATGTAGGAAGGAATGATACAGATCTTGACCCACCAAAGACATTTCATAGGAAGCCTGTTCTTTTAGCGTAAGTTGTAAATACCAAGGCTGGTTCTATCTAAACATTAAAAATCTGGTCAGGCTATAGTTTGTATGAAAATCTGTTAAGTACTTAAAGTACAATATCTGTGATACTTGGTTTTAAAGGCAACTTGAGTGAATCAGTACTAATTAATTATACTTCACATTATTACATCAAAATATCTCAGAAAATTAGTATTGCAAAACTGCAAAATTTACAAATTATTTCCAGTCAAAAATTAGAACTTAAAAAAAACTTATGGCAAATTTCAAACATTTATAAGAGTGAACAGACTTAGACTGAACTCTCCATATATTGTCCCCCATATTCAACAATTATCACCTCATGGTCAATTTTGTTCCTTTTATCACCTAGCTATATATATTCCTGTCTCCTGTATTATTTTGAGGCAAATTATAGACATCATATAATTTCATCTGTAAATATTTCAATATGAATTATGTATTTCTAAAATATGAAAACTTTTAAAATATAACTACAATACCTTATCATAGCTTTAAAAATTAATAATAATCTATAATATCTAGTTGGCACTGATATTTCCAACTGTCTCAAAAAATGTCATTTTCTGTTTATATTTGAATTAAGATCTAAATAAGGTCTACATATTGTGATTTGTTGATGTCTACCTTGGGAATTTTTCATTGTTGTTAGTAGCATTGAACCTATCGCTTTCTTTGATTTCATTGGTTTTTATTTTTTTGCAACACTGGTGCACAGAATTAAATCATAATCCTTGGTCATGATATACTCTCATCATGAGTGCATGTGTGCCCCCCTTTTTATGTTTTTGAAATTTTAATGAGCCTGCATGAACCCTCAATTCAACAAGCTAAGACCTTGACATTAACTTACATTTAGCTGTGCAGTTCCTCCCTATGCCATCTTTCTTCCTTACCCCATTGTAGTAACCACCATCTTGAATCTTGTTCTTTTGCATTCTTTTTTATATAGTTTTCTTTCATCCAAGTGTATTCCTTAAATTTTTTGCTCTACTTTTTAACTTAATATCAAGTTTACCATGTTGTACTTAAATTCCTAGTACTCATTTTTGAACACATTAGGTTGCTAAGATTCACCCATATTTTTGCATGTCGTTGTGTGACTATATCAGTTTATGTTGTCTCCTGTTGACAGGCATTTGTTTTGTTTCTAGGGTCTTGCAATTGTGAAAAGTGCTGTTCCTTTTGATTCTAGTATTTTTATATGTATTTCAACTTGTTTTTTACTGACAAAAGAGTCTACCGGAAATACCACTTAGGGTAGGATGGGTGAGACAACTAAGCCTCTTAGCTACAACAGGGCACTCTAACAGGTGACCTTGAACAAATGACCCATAGTCTTGACCAGTAGGAACTCACTGAGACAATATTTGACAGTTTGGTTGAGTATTTCAGGAATGAACGTGAAATATGACTGAGTGATCCCAGCAAGACGACTCCTTATTGATGTACAAAAGAAACGGGGAGGTTAATTTAGAATTCCTATGCATTTCTGACCTTATTTTGAGCTATTATCTACCATATTTCCAGAAAAGTAGTTTGATTTTGACTATTTTTGTTTTATTTAATTGTTTAGGAGAGAAATGACCTGAAGCGTGCTGAATTCATGCTTAAAGAAGCAGATAAATTGGGCTGCAGACAGTTTGTTACTCCTGCGGATGTGGTTTCAGGCAATCCTAAACTTAATTTAGCTTTTGTAGCTAATCTGTTTAACACATACCCATGCCTCCACAAGCCTGATAATAATAACATCGATATAAATTTATTGGAAGGTAAGTTCTTTCTGCCTTAACTTGGCTCACCCTATTTGTCTTCTTGTGGCACTGTCCTTCACTGTCAGAGGCAGGGGACTGTGGTGGGAGATGAAACTCTAGTGTGTGTAGATATGTGCATCCATTAAAAGGTTCAAATTACAGAAAGTGGATGTTGCTTCTGGTTAAAAGAGAGTGCTGGGGTAAATCTTACTTATCTGCCGTTTCCCTGTAAGAGCATAGTGAAAACTATCATACATTTGAAATATTCTCTTAAGTGACCACATAACAGTAACTCCACCACCGATATGGACAGTGGATTGTCTATTGAAAAAAATAATTATATGTAGCTTTTTTCTCCTTTAAAAGCTACAGTATGACTCCAGTATCGTTCTTTTTAATGTTTCCAGTATACATGAAAAAAATTACAATATTTGTTACTTGTGTGTGGGCTATCTTTATCTGTCTCATAATTTATAACACTTTCCTATTTTGCTTTGTGAAATGCAGATTTGACCCCTCCTAATGTAGGTACTGTATTTAGTACTTTTCTGTATTCTGTAAATATATTCATTCTGAATGTTGTTTTTTATTAATACCATTCTTTCCATCTGAGTTGATGTTTATTTTTTGCATTGTTCATGCTGTGCTATTTCTGTCTTAATATGCCTATAGAATGAATGACTAAAAGCAAGAAACATAATTGAAGCTTAATTAGAATAGCAGAGAAAGGTTTTGATTATGTAAACTCACCACCTAATTTGCCTTCTATATTGGTGGGATAGTGTAGTTGTAAACACATCAGAAACCAATTTTGGCAATTGGAATTTATGATTTGATGTAAAGCTTGTATCCCTCTCCTGTGAGTAAACAAATTTATCTTTTATGATAAGTAATCTTTGAAGGGACCCATTTAGGTTCTATAACATAGATTATTTTGTATTCTTTAGCTATGTTACATTTGCTGAATGTCATTGATGCTTACAATATATGAATCGTCATAATGACAAAAACATTCTCCTTATCTCTGTTTCCCAGGCTTTCTTCCTTCTGCCCTTTTCACACCCTCACCCGCATGCATACCAACACCACAGTAGTTTCAGGAAAAAGGAAAAACAGTGGCAGCAGTGGTGGCAGTTGTCAGGGGGAAGGGGTCAGTCTTAAGGTTTTCTTTCTAGTTTTTCTGATTCAGAGAAGGTAGTTTTCAAAGAGGGATTCTTCTTGGTGAGGAGAATTTGAAGCTGCGGTGTTCATTCTCTCACATCACATCACGTACCCCTCTCTCTTCCCCAGGGAGATAGAATGAGAAATTAGTTTCATGATCTTTGTCTTTTTGACTGCCACAAGCAGGATTCCATTGTCCTTATCACCTCCTAATTACATTTTTTTTTTTTTTTGATTAATGAAAAAAGTTTCAGAATTAAAGAACATGTTCTTTGAGGAATATGACTAATTCACTATTCCTGAGATCCAGTAAAATAAAATAAAAATTATATTCTCTACATAGATATGTAATGGAGAGGGAAAATTGACAAAATGTAGATTTTTCAGCAAAGAAATTCAGGATGAGGGATTAGATCAAAAAAAAAAAAAAAATTAAACAAAAAGGAAGACTGGTAAGTTTTACTCAGTCTGGAAAATTTCAAAATCCCTTTGTGTCTTACAGTAGAAGGCATTGTTTAGAGTGGCATATTAAAAATGATCTGCTTTTTATAGTCACTGAATTCTTGCTAGATACCTTTTCCAACTTGCTCACTTTCCTCTATTTGTCACGTTTGAATTCTTTTGCTAGTGTTCAGCATGCTTTTGGAATTTTTCAGTGTGGACAGGATTGATAAATATTTCCATTAGTATTTACTGTATTTGTATAAGAAGATACTGTGAGAAATATTTATCAATCATCTTTATTTAGAACATATGTATGCCCTGATATGTCTCCCAAAAATATATTTGACTTTGACTGTCAATGGAATTTTTTCTCTCTAAATTTGTTTTATAGATTCTTATGAAATTTGAAGCTTGACCTTATCACATCCCAAATTCATATATTAGTATGTCCTCATTGGCAAAGAATTATAACTCTAGGTAATTAAAGAAAAGTAAAAGCCCAATTAAGTATTGAACCTTCATATCAAATTGTGCAAACTCTGTGGGCTAGTTATGGAAAGTCCATCTCAGAATTCGTTTGTGGTGCTGGAAAGTACATAGGCTACAGAATTAGACAGACTTGGTTCAAATCATGGTTCTACTATTTACTATTTGAGTGACCTCTGTGAGCCCTGGTTTTCTCATATGTAAAACAGGACTAATAATGTTTACTTTGAAGAGTTTCAGAACAAGTTAAATGTGACTATGAATGAAAAAGTTTAGCATACAGTATGTGCTCAGTAATGGTCAGCACAGGAGGACGAAAGTGCCTGATAACATCGCTTGGCACATATAGCGAGCAGTCAATACATGTTTATTCCCTTCTCTTTCCTCTTTGTAGCCTACTTTTTAATATATTCACTGTTTCCTCTGAAACTTTTATCAATTGCAGATGCTAGTCTGACCCTATAAATTAATGTTTTATAGTTCTATCTTGTATATCAGCCATTAAGATTTTACTTTTAACATTGCTTGAGTTATCTACAATCCAGACAACATTTTCCAATCTGGAATACATATGTTTTTTGAAATACTTTACCATGGCTCTGGCACCAATGCCTAGTGCTTCTGGCTCTGAGCATTTATTTACCCAGGCAACTTGAAATGCTGTTAGATAAATAAATGCTCACTTATGAAATCTGTTTTACTTTCCAGGTATCAGGAATTAAAGTATTAATTATATAATTGGTTGAGAAAAATAGGAAGAAATATGAACCTCTGAAGCTTATAATAGTTTCAGAACTCAATCAAAATATAAGCTCAGTGTTTTGTGTTTTTTTTTAATGTTATTCACTACATCATCAGGCGCAACAGAATTTAGATATTTTAATTAAAAATTAAACCATTGTGACACTGTCAGTGTTTGTAATTTAAAAGTATAATTTGGATACTCCTGGCTGGAAATAATGTAAAAATTCTTTAATTACTAGAAGAAAATCTATATATGGAACAATATAACTATAACAGATAGGGATGATTAAACAACTCAAAGGTAAATCCAAAGTCATGTGTGTCAAGCTGTTGATCACAGTATATTTATATTTATAAACATATATTTGAGGACAGTTCACATCCTTAATTTGCACTGTTTAATAACTCCTACAAGCAAGGCAAGCACAGATTCTAGGACTGTTTAGTTTAACTTGATTCTTTCTTAAAAAGGTTCTCATACAGGTTGTTTATTATAAAGTGGTGATGTCAGATAAAACAGACTGATCACTTTTACCTTTTAGGCAGACCATAGGGGAAAAAGTTAAGCAAAAAATTACATGACTATATAATAGAGCAAAAATTAAAGCAGATTTTGGGAAGGCAGTTAGGTGATGGTATTGAAAACCTCATGAAAACACAGTGGGCAGTTTATTTTCTCAAAAGTTGGCACAAAGAATAGAATCCTTCCATTCTTGGCAAGGGCGTGGATCCTGTTCTGGGTGAGCTGGTGTGTCCTGGCTCTGGCACTTGATCTGAAGATGACTGAAGGGATGGCTCTGTAGGAAAGGGCCCCTGGAGCTCAGATGGTTATAGGTTTATATGTCACATTGTCCTGGGTCATCACATGCACCAAAGTCTAGAGAGTGAGCTGAACTTGCCTATGGCTTAGAAGTGATGAGAGGTAAACGCTTCAGTTTTTCACGAGTCTGGTGATCAGATGTAGGCTAAGCCATTCCATTATCCCCTAACTTTGCTGAAGGGGAAACTAATAGGTAGTCATTTAGGACTGTTTGCAATCCAGGGGATGGCAGGAAGGCAGATGGAGCATGTAGAACCCATATCTCCACCTACTTTGTGGCACACTTAACCCATGTTTTCCTGTCACGTGGTGTAAGCACTGCTATGAAGGGAATGGTCGGGGAGGTTAGGTTATCACAGGTTAAACAATAGTGCCTGCAGGAGTAGAATCCTTTAGGTGATCTCTGAGGTCCAGGAACTTACTATGAGGAAATATGTCTTTCTCTTAGCGTTTTTTGTGGTGGGCCGTATATTAAAAAATTAACATATTTTCAATAGTGACAATCTAAAATAACTCACGAAGCCTATAAAATGGTTACATCCCTTACTATCTATTTTTATATTACCTGTAATTCCCCCTCCCCTTCATCGCTGTTTGGTATAATTAAAATCTAGGTTTGTGTGCCCAGAAACTTTCCTGTGTAAAACCAGCACTGTATTGGCGAAGGTACAGTGCTTTCTATTTCTGTTTAATATGTTAATGTTCCCTGACTGCTAAAAGATTTTATTAACGTTAAGCCGATCCTTTTCACATCTAACCATAAATACAGATCTGACTACGTAAGTTTATTTGTTACTTTTCTGGACAGAGAAACCCATGGCTCAGTAGTTCAGACATATCAGGTAAGGGAATATAGATGGAGAGATTTAGAGCAAATGGAGGCTTCCCAGACAAGCCCTTTTTCCCCTTCAAGAAATTGTAGTATTATAGGAACCATGGCGTAGTATGTATGGCCAGTCTGTACCTGCCAGAATTGTTTAAAATAAAACTCCTGATTCCCTTTGTCCTAAATCATCAGTGTGAACTTATGTCTACTGTAGGGGAGAGCAAGGAAGAGAGGACATTCCGGAACTGGATGAATTCCTTGGGAGTCAACCCATACATTAATCATTTGTACAGGTAAATATTTTACTGTGTTTCATCTTTATAGTCAGGATCCAGCTTTTCAAGTTTTCAAACTATGTATGTTTACATGAGAACATTTTCTAAATTCACAAGAACTTTAGCCAACATTTAGAGTTTTAGAATACCTCGGGGATTGGCAATACAATGGATTTTAAAAGAAAAATATCTGAAAAGAGAAGAATATGATAATATCAGTTATAATTTTTGATGGTGACATAAATAATTCAAAAAAGGTAATCCATCTTAACTCCGTTATAATATTGATCAAGAAAATAATAAAGTATTATTTGATAAAATTACTTTATCATAGCAACATTTTTCATTATAATTCATATTCTTTCCATTTGTTTTTTTGCCAAAAATCCTGTTATTCCATAATTTGTTGTGTATATTTTTTCTAAGTTGTAAAAAGAGCTTGTTTTCCCTGAGTATTTATTTATGTCATTCTTTCTCGTTTAAAAATGACAACACATTATCAACATTGGTAGTGCTAAAAAATATATAATATTGAATCATTTACTGTGCTGTCTGACGGGGCTGACGATGTGCGTTCTTTCAGCGTGTGGATGGGAGAAAACTTTCCTTCTCGCTTCATTACAGAAGCTACCAACTTGCCTTGAAAAAATGCAACAGAACTCAACTTCAAAAAATTATGACATATTTTTAGGAAAAAAAGTGTAATTAACTAAATCTATTAATAATTTATACATCAAGGGAACTTTTGGGTGAGAATTAAGTGAGTTATTATTCAAATGTGAACTGAAAACAAATGTCATAGAAGACTAAGTTCAGCGGGTGAGAATTTATGATGCGATAATTTCTCCTGCTTGTTGTATATTCAGAACAGTCTTTAAAACAAGTATTGTCTTATTATGATAACTGGCTTGGATGTGATGGACCCATACTTGAAAAACTCTCAAAGAATGTGTAAATTCAGCTAATGGGAAAAGATGTCATTTAGATGGGGACCCCCATTACAGTAGCAAGGCAGTAAAGGACTCAAATATTGGAGGTGAGATCTTTATGGACTAGACAATTCGGTAATATATAATTGAAAGAATGTCTATAATATATAATTGAGAGAAAAGAACCATAGGTGTAGTATGATCCCATTTTTGTTTAAAAATGGAGTTAAAAATTGTACATATTTCTATATGAATTTAAGCTGTGCTAGTTTGCTAGGGCTGCCATAATGAAATATACACAAACGGGTGGCTTTAAAGAATGGAAGTTTGTTTTCTCACAGTTCTGGAGGCTAAAAGTCCAAATCAGGGTCTTGGCCATGTCGATTCTTCTGTGAACTTCTCTCCTAGTTTCTGTGACTGCCAGCAGCCCTTGGCATTCCTTTGCTCGTAGATGGATCTTCACGTAGTTTCTTCCCCCAGTGTGTGCATCTCTGAGTCTGTTCTGCTCTATTAATAAGACACCTCTCAGAAGGGATTAGGTTTAGGACTCACCCTACTCTGGTATGACCTTATTAACACAACAAAAGAAAACTATTCTCAAACAGGGTCATATTCACAGGTACAGGGGTGAGCACTTCAGCATAACCTTCTGGGGGATACAATTCAATCCGTAACAGATGCATACCAAATATTTGTATGTAATCGTGGCAGTGGGAGTGGAGAGTAGTGAGGTGACTTATTTTTAATGTTAGTAACTTAAATATGGTTTGAATGTTTTACAATGGGCATGTATTTCTTTTACAATTAAAAAGTAAATTTAAAAAGGAGATTAAGATTTGTTGAGGTTCATGGTAACTATTTCACAAGTATCAAGATAGCTAGAGCTCTCTATGCTTGACAGTGGAGAAGAGAGTTGGCCATATTGTTTAGTTAAAGATTATTTGATTATAGTTTTATATAGATCCTGAAATTCTAGCACAGGGCTTCTAGGTATATGTATGTTTTGGGGGAGGAGGGAAAGGGACTGTAACTTCCAGAAAATGCTCAAAAGGATAATTAACCTTAACAAGAACCACTGGATAGAGGAAAGCAATAGCCAGGAATCTAGTAGGCACCAGAACCATGTGTCCATGAGTTTGTGGCTGGATTGCATTTCTAAACCCACCCCTAAGCACTTTAGTTCCCCACCTACAGTATATCCAGCCCCAAACCAAAGCATTCAGAGAATGTAGATTGATTTTAACTGAAAATTCCCACCTTCGAACACATTATTAAATATATTTGAAGAACTATCAGTCCTAGGAGTTTTTCTGTGACAAGTTGGTTCTGAAACTCATCTTGAAGTCTCTGAAGGTCATTTCAACTCTCTGGGCTTTAATTTTGTAAAACACAAATAATAATACCATACTACATAGGTATAAGAATGAGTTCATTTAAAATAAAAAAGAAAAATTCATGAAATAGGTGAGATTTCCGACTCATAGCGACCCTATAGGACAGAGTAGAACTGCCCCATAGGGTTTCCAAGGAGCAGCTGGTGGATTCAAACTGCCGACCTTTTGGTTAGCGGCCAAACTCTTAACCACTGCGCCACCTGAGATAACATAGTCAGCTCTTAATCACCTCATGTTAGATTTTCTCCCCCCATCACTTAGTGCAGGGCCACTTCCCTTCAGTGCCATATGGTGTTTGCTCAGAGAATGTAAGTAACTTTAATATAAATCTTAGCAAAGCATAAATCAGCAGACAAGCCGTTGGGGGGGAAAAGCTACATAATGTATCACAGCTACCAATTTTAAAATCAATTGCTATTGCTTTATGCCCTTAGTACACAGAATTGATAAAAGACTCTATAGACATACTTTGAGCTTCTCAAAAAAACATGTTTTTCTGAATCCAAAGTAATAGTAGTCTTACTTCAAGAGCTCATACTTGCTCATAAATCCTTCCCTTTTAACCTTTGTTATTTAACACGAACAGTTGCATGAGTAGCTATTGTGACTTTCCTGTAATTATTTTTAAAAAGCTAAAAAAATCATAATACATAAGTAATATACGAACTCATTTTCACTGTAGAAGTTTCTGGAAGTATATAAGTATATAAAATAAAACAAAACCTGGTGATCCCCCCTTATGCCTTTCATACTCCTTTTGTCCTTCCCAGGGGTAATTGGTATTCACAGTCCTTACCACATATTTCTCTTAAATTTTTTTTTAAATAAATGGGATGAAACTATTTGCAGTGTTCTGTCACTTGGTTTTTTAAACTTAGTATGTATTGGAAAGCTTTCATCTACTGTGCTTAATAAAATTAGGTAGTACCATCATTTCCTCCTCCTTCATCTGCCTTACCCTTCCGTTTCTAGTGACCTTGCAGATGCATTGGTGATCTTCCAGCTCTATGAAATGATCCGCGTACCAGTCGACTGGAACCATGTCAACAAACCTCCTTATCCTGCTCTCGGAGGGAACATGAAGAAGGTGAATGAAATAATGACCAAGGATATGTTGTTACTGTTTTGATATACAAGAGGATTTAGAGTTTCATAAAGCTTGGAAAAGTCCCCACGGTTCTGATTCAAACCAGAATGTGTTCAGTTTGGTGGCTTTTGTGCACGTTTGTTTTTAATAAATGTTTGGGAAAATGAAGGCAGCCCCCCCAACCCATCCCCCCACCACCACATAAGACACTTTATATAATTGTTTTCGTGTTTAGCAAGTTGTCATACTTAATGTTTCTTGGGGTGCACCGTAAGTGCATTCTTATTTTATAATTGTCAAAACTTGCCAAATCTATGCTGATTATTACATTCATTTTTTCAATAGATGTTTATTGATTATCTACTACCTATACAGTGCAGTGCAGGATATAAACAGGTATCAGACATGGACTTGATCTTCAGAAAGCCATAAGGGAATTAGGGGGATAAGATATTTGTACAGACAACTACAGTGCAGTGCCATGTAAGCAAAAGTGAATATTATGGGTTCCAAGGAAGAAAAGACTGCAGGCTACACTTATCATGAAGAACTTCATAGTGGAATTGGTATTTGAGTTAGACCTTAAGAAATATATAGAATTTTGTCAGAAGGAGACTGGAAAGGGGACTGAGGATTTAGTAAAAGGGTAGAGTCCCTGGGTGGTACAAATGGTTAACATGCTTGGCTGCTAACCCAAAGTTTGGCAGTTTGAGTGCTACAGAGTTGCCTCGGAAAAAAGGCCTGGCGATCTACTTCTGAAAAATCAGCCACTGAAAACCCTATGGAGTACAGTTCTACTGTGACACACGTGGGGTCACCATTAGTGGGAATCGACTTGATGGCAGCTGGTACTAGAAGAAAGAATGAATTTTGGAATATTATCTTTTTTAGAAAATGAATGTATGTCAAAGATTTTGTTTAACTTACTAAATGATGAAAGGAGGAGGATGTTACAACAGGTTCAAAGAATCACCTTGTGTTTTTATTTGTAACAAATTGAACTTTGGGAATACTGATTTTCTTTTATAAGGAACAATATCCTTTCACTTGTGAAAATTCTGTTATTGTGCAGTCTCTTTCCCAGCTTTCCTGGAAGTACTTTCTTATTCTTGGAGAAAACTTATCCGTGTGTCTCAGGTTGAACTGTATTGTAATGGGGCCACAACTAATTTGCAAAAAAAAAAGACAGGAAAAAAGTTATGCTCTTTTTACTTTATTCCAGATAGCATTTATTAAGCACTTTATAGTACTGGTGACATTACAAGATTATGAGAGCTTACAATTTCATTGGAGAAAAGAGAAAATATATAAGAATATACATATACACATACACCTCAATTTCATTAGAGAAAAAGGAAAATACATAAGTGTATATATGTATGTGTGTGTGTATGTGTGTATATAGATAGATAGATAGTACTAGATGACTGGAGATAAGATACCTCTATATAGGCCAAGTTAGAAAAGAAAATTTTCTAGAGAAAGGACTTAACTGGACTGATATCACTGGAGAGAAGTAGGTAAACCAAAAAAACTAAACCCAATGCTGTCGAGTTGATTCCAACTCATAGCAACCCTATAGGACAAAGTAGAACTGCCCTATAGGGTTCTAAGAAGCAGCTAGTAGATTCGAACTGCCAACCTTTTGGTTAGCATATGATCTCTTAAACACTGCGCCACCAGGTACGTGGGAATAATTTACTTGGTGTTCATTCATCAGATTCTTACTATAGGCAGGGCACTGTGCTGGGTCCTGAGCTGAAGGTGGGAGAGTATGATACAGATTTGTAAACTATTATGGTCTTTTCCCATTAAAAGAAGCATATCTTATCCTTGGCAAAAGATAGTATATAAAAAAACTAAGTGTAAGTAGAAGATGGTTTATAAGCATTATAAAATAAATATGACAGGAGTTCAAACAAAGAATAAATTGTTATCAGCTGGTACATTTAAGGGTAAGCCTTTGTTGAAGAAAGTAGGACAGAAGATGATTTCAGAGAATGAGTGAGATCTGGATAAAAAATATGTGGGATGAAGTTCGATTCTTAATGAATGAAACCATTTTTCCCCTCTATTCCTTAATTTTTAATTTAGACAAAACAATATTTTTATCTCTATTAATAGGGTCGCTATGAGTCAGATTTGACTTGATGGCAACAGGTTTGGTTCTTTAATGGTATGCAGGAAACCTAGGTTTTTAGTCACAGATTTGCCACTAATAAGCTATGTAATCTTGAACAAGCCACAATTAAAACTTTTAGGATAGAAGGAGACCTTAAAGGTGGTGATTTAATCCAGCCCTCAAAACTTTCCAGCCAGATGTTCCTTTATCTAGCCTCTGCTTAACCCATCAGTTTTTTGTTATCTTCAACTATAAAATGGGAATAATTATTTCCTTGCTCTTGCTGGGCTATTATTATGAAATGAAATTCTGTCATATAAATTTAAATTATAATTATTTTTCAGATGGTTGAACTAGACTGGCAAATTCAGGGGATACATTTAAAAAAATTTTTATTCCAAAACTTTGCCTTATTATTTATAGATTGAAAATTGTAACTATGCAGTGGAACTTGGGAAGAATAAGGCCAACTTCTCTTTGGTTGGCATTGCTGGGCAGGACCTAAACGAGGGGAATGCAACACTTACACTAGCGTTGGTGTGGCAGCTGATGAGAAGGTAAAGGCCAATAAGATATGTTTATAGCAACATCGTCAGTTTCCTTCAACAAGTCATTTGAATGGCAATTTTCGCTATTTTGAAGAATAATGGATACAGTATAAAATATATTAATTTAAAAATGATTTACTGTTGATTATTTTGTGTGTGTGTGAGCCCTGGTGCCACAGTGGTTAAGCGTTTGGCTGTTAACCAAAAGGTGGACGGTTCCAACCCACCAGCGATTCCATGGGAGTGAGATGTGGCAGTCAGCTTCCATGAGGATTACAGCCTTGGAAACCCTATGGGGCAGTTCTACTCTGTCCTACAGGGTCACTATGAGTCGGAATTGACTTGATGGCAACGGCTTTTTGGGTTTTATTTGTTTACTTATTTTGTAAGTTATACTTTATTTTAAAAATGGGTCAATCTCTAGAAACACAACCAGTTTTATTAATGGCTGTTACAAACCGCCTCATAAGGAGATTGCTTCATTAGGAGTTGTTTTAATTTTTTAAATATCATATAGTAGTTTTTGTGTCCGATTGGTGAGCCTTGTAACTTTGAGATGTATCGAAGTGCAAATACCAGATTAAAATTAGAAATATTTATTAGAACTGAAATACCTCTTAACTGTTTATCTAAGTACTGACATAAGTGTTATGAGAGCAAGTTTTACCCCTTTCAGTCTCAAATATATATCTTTTCTGTTGCAGGTACACATTGAATGTATTGTCAGATCTTGGAGAGGGTGAAAAAGTAAATGATGAAATTATTATTAAATGGGTCAATCAGACTCTTAAAACTGCAAACAAAAAAACTTCTATTTCCAGCTTCAAGGTAATCAGGAGATTTTTTTTTTTTTAATTTTTTGTAAGAAACTAAGTTTAGGAAGGAATTTTTATCGGGAATTATAAAATTGGTTTAGGCTCCGAATTCCATTAATGTTGTATCTCAGCATCACACAGTTTATGAGTTTGGGCAGCCTGGTTATTTGGTATGTGTAAACCAAAAACACCTAGTCTGAAGCCTTATATTTTTGATTGATCGTTCTATTTTGTATAAACACAGGTTAATATTATCAGACTCTGGTATCTAATCTTAAAAAAGAAATAGAATAGAGCCAAAAAACCCAATTGCAGATGAGAAAGAAAGATAAGAAGTCATCGTTTCTATAGGACCTATAATGTTTTGTGCTCCCTAGCCGCAGTCTCAGAATTGTATTGACATCATTTCCAAGGCATAACAGAGCCAGCCAAACTGATTCAAGTGGGAATTCAGAAAACTGGTAGGAAAAAAAAAATTTGTCATCTGGCTTCATAATGGCACTTAATACTCACTTCCGAGCCTTTGTGTATGATTCATAAAGCACTCCAGATGTAATCTGCACATACATACCCACTAATCTTCATGCATTTCCATTGTGTTTTGCTTTTGCATGCAAGCTGATGTCAGCTACAAATAAGCATGTCTGCTTGTACACATTCATTCAGTGAGCCTTGTGTGATTTTATTGTGATATGTGAAGAACCAGCAGTCAATTTGTTTTTTTGAAAAACAGTGAAATAAAACAATGTAGGGAAATAAAAAAGTGCAAACAGATGAAACATTAGGCTATCCTAAGAATTAGGTTGTTGGTAGAGATGCTCCCTGAGTCCTAGGTCAAGTGTTCTCTTTCTTTTTCCATCTTGGAAGGAGCCAATAACATTGAGTTTTTGTTGTTGTTTATATTTTTTTTTTTTTAAAAAGTAATTCTCAGACTATGGTTTGTCTCCATATTTTTTAGACATAAAACACAACTTAAAAATGTAAAATGGGTGGGACTTACTACAAAATTATCTAATTGGAATTTACTCTTTAAAATTGTTATATTAAAATTATATGTATTTATATATTAATTTATTAAACATAGTAAGCATGTATATTATTAAATCAAATAAAATGAGAAAATAATATTTAGGAAAAAATCAATAAATATTTATTGAGCTCTTGTGATGTGAGTAAATTTTCTAGGTAAAGAAAAAGATATAAAGCATAAGAAATTGATTTGGCCCTCAGCGTTCACCATTTAGTTGAAAGATAAAGCTGAAAAGATAACAAATAATACTACAGAGTAAATGATAAAATACAAATAAATAATACAATAATACTGTCATGGGGAAGTCTAATTGATCATTTCCAACTTAATGGGCAGTGAAGAGTGGATGGAGAAAGTTGGATTTGAGTTGAGCATAGATGGAGGAAGGGTTTGAGAAGGTGGAGAGAAAACTAGGAGGGGTCCATCTCGAATAAAGGCAAGTATTATAGTTTGAATTGTGTCCCCCCGAACTATGTGCTATAAATCCTGGCTTATATGCCTGTGGTTATAATCCCACTTGGGAATGGGTTGACTTGTTATGTTAATGAGACAGGATTAGGGTGGGATGTGTCTTGAGTCAGTCTCTTTTGAGATATAAAAGAGGTTAAACAAGCGAGCAGAGCAGAGACGGCCGGGGGGGGGTGGGGGGCGGGATGCCAGGCCATATGAAGATCTCTCAGGAGCAGAAGCTCAAAGAGACAAGGACCATCCTCCAGAGCTGACAGAGAAAGCCTTCCCCTAGAGATGGCACCCTGAATTTGGACGGCACTGTTCTAGCCTCCTAAACTGTGAGAAAATAAATTTCTGTTTGTTAAAGCCACCCATTTATGGTATTTCTGTTATAGCAGCACTAGATAACTAAGAAAGACAGCAAGTCTGAGAGGCTTAGAGAAATAATTTGGCTAGAGAGGAGAGTTCCTAAGGGATGTGTAGTGCAAGATACAGGCTGGGTCAAGACTGTAGAGGAATTTGGCCTAAATAAAGGATTTTGAATAAGTAAGTGATGTAAGAAAGGTGACTGTTTTAGGAAGATAGATTGGAATGTGGTGAGCGGGATGGGTTGGAGGGAGAATGGTGTAAATGCAAGGACCATGCATAAGAAACCAAGGTAGTAGTCAAGGTGTGACGTGATAAAGGGTCTGAACGAGACTGAGTGAGGGTGTGAGTGAGGGTGAGCGCTGGGAATGGTAAGAATGGATAGATAACAGAAATTGGGATGTCATGAGGTACAGCTGCTTTCTTGAAAAGGTGATGAATTCAGTTTTAAGTATGTTGAATTTGAGGTAATTTTCAGGAAATGGGAAGCTAGATGAAAGGAGATATTAAAACTGGGAATTGACAGACTTAGTGATCACTTAAAGAGAAGAGTTGAAACAGTGGGAGTATACAAACCCTTTCTTACATTATTTCCTCTATTCACAAGGAAGATCAGACTTAAGAGAGTACATTTTACTTAGAACTGAGGAGGCAGAAATGTATTGCAAAAGTGCTTGGCATTTAATAGGTGCTTGGTAATAAAATCTTTCGAGAGTGAAAATGGCTAAGAAATACGACAGTGAATGCTAAAAAATAATTGGGGGAGTAGTGTTTTCCAACCATGGAAGGCATTATGTTTGAAAGCTATAATAAGTAGTACTAGTAAGAACCTATTACTATACCTTGAAATTTCAGAGAAGACAAACTTACCTTTTGTAGTTGTAAAGTAATTTTCCTTTACCAAGAAGAGAGGTGGCATTTCAGTGAAAAATATAATTACCATGTATTCAGTCCTGTGTGTCACCATGATAAGTACTTTACACATTATTTATTTATTTATTTTCTCTCAACAGTTCTGTGAGCAAGAAGGGGGAGGCCTTAGAGAAGTTAATAACTTGTCTACTGTCTTACAGCTATTAAGCAGAAGAGCTGGGTTTCACACCCAGGGCTGTCCAACTACGGGCTGAAAGCCTGGCTTTGGAGTTGTTCGTCCTGGATTTGACTCTGAGCTCAGCCACTTATTTAGCTGTGTGACATATTTCTCATTCATTCCATAAATATTCAAAGCTTACCATGTGTCAGGTGCTGTGCTAGGCACTGTGGCTACATAGTGCTTTCAAAGAGCTCGCTATTCAAGGGAGGAGGCAAAAAAACAAACAGGAATCACAGTATGGAGTGTCAGCAACACTGTAAAACTCAGCTTAGGGGAGGAGTATGGGAGCATCTGTAAAGGGCAACTAGCTCAGTCCTGAGGGACTAAGAAAGACTTCCTACAGGAAATGAAGTCTAAGCTGAGACCTGAAGAATAAGTGGAGAAACAGAGATTAGCTAGGTGAAGTGGGGTGGGAGGGTAAAAGGGAAGAAATAGTTTTGAACATGTAAATTATTAACCTTTCTAAAGCTTACCTGCAAAATATGGATAATAATGCCTCCTTTCAGAGTTATGAAGATGTAATGTTTACAGTATGTGTCAAACATTTAGCTTAGTATATGTAGCACATAGTAAGCACTCAAGAATGTTAATGCTCAACTGGCAACTGTGTTAATAGTTTTCTTTATGGAGAAAGAAAAATTTTTAATGACTTTAGGATGCTTTTCCTTGGCTAAACTCAGATAACTTCATATCCTTCTGAATCTCCTATGTGCAAACAGTATTAGTGGACTAAATGATTTCCAGAAAATGTGAAGTCCATGCACAGTTACATGAGATAGCTTAAGTGAGTATTGTGAGTGCAGTGTTTTACAAAAACCTTAGCAGTCTATACTAACAGCTGGGCTACATCTCTTGAATAAAACCAGTTCACCAGTTAGTATCTGTGTGATCTTGGGCAAGTTATTTAATTTCTCTGTGCCTCAGTTTCCCCATATCTAAAATGGGGATATTAATAGTACTATCTTCTAGGGTTGTTGTCAGACTAAACCAACAAATTTAAAGAGCTTAAGAGTGCCTGGCACATATAAATAGGGCTTACTAGACTATTGGTATTGCCAATACGTAAAGGCCATCATATGTAGAGGGGTTCTTGTTGAGCCTTTTAGGGAACTCTGGTGGCTACATCACTGTTTTAACAGAAATATGTATCATATTAAGGGAAAGAGATGGTACAGTTCATTATCTTGAAAATCAACTGAAGCTCTCAGCTAATTGTCATTACGATTCTAGAAATTCTTCCTGCTCAAATAATTATGATTAGCTTAAGGAAAAGAAAAGAAGTGATGAAAACGCATTTATATAACTAAGCATTTCCACTATAACTCCCGCTCCCCTTGCAAAAGTCAAATATTTCTCACTGATAATGTACAAAACACAGGAGGTGGAAGATAGGCCTATTTTCTTGGAAACAGGAAGAAATAGGATCCAATATAATCTTTAAAAACTTCAGTGGAAGCTTTTCACAAGGTGAATCTTAAGGAAATAGGTGGGAAAAACCATTTTTTCTAAATCTGAAGAAATATTTAAAATATGCAAACAAATAATCAAAATATAGCACAATTAAAAAAGCCACTTGTATTTTTTGAATCATCATATAAATACTATATGAAAAGTCTATAGAAATTTTAAATTCTAGAATGACAAACATGTTTAGGGTTTTTTTAGAAGGTATAACAGGGTGCATTAGAATCACCTGGAAAGCTTATTTAAAAATGTAAATTACCAGCCGCATCCCCAGATAACCTGATTCATTAACTTGAGAAAACCAAAAAAAATCCACCCCATCGACTTGCGTCTGACTCATAGCGACCTCGTAGGGTTTCCAAGGCTATAAATCTCTATGGAAGCATACTGCCGTATCTTTGTTCCGCAGAGCTGCTGGTGGTTTTCAAACATCAGCCGTTCAGTTAGCAGTCAATTGCGTTAACCACTCTGACACCAGGGCTCCTTCATTAACTTGAGAGTAAGGCCAAATTTGTACTTTTAACAAGCACCCCAGGTGAGTCTCATGTAGGTGCTCTGCAGACTAAACTTTGAGGAAACAGGTTTAAGAATTTTTCAGAAATAGAGAAGATACCAAAAAACCAGATCCAGATTACCAGCATCAGGTAGAGTTAAGGACTCTGATTAGTTTTTATTGTTACCCCCATAAAGATCTATTTCATAAAATGTATAATTCCTGATGATACATGATTGATCTAAATTTGGTAAACATGTTAGTTCCTAGATCATAGTAAAAAATCTTCACATGGCTTCAGATTGTTTTATCATTTATTAATAAAAACCTCCATTTGGCTAGGAACTGTACTAGGTGCTTTCACCTATATTAATATTCCCAAGAATCCTGTGAAATTTCCATTTTAGAGATGAAGAAAGGGTGCTTTTGGCTTCAAGTAACAGAAACCTAATTGAAACAGATTTAAATGAAAAGGAAGGATATTGACTCCAATAACAGAAATCCAGAAGTAAGGTAGACTTCAGGGTTGGTTGAGCCAATAATTCAGGAACGTCATTCCTCTCATTCTCCTTCAGGAGGGTTGCTGGCTTTCCCCAGCTCTTCCTGAATAGCAAGGGCCTCACATTAAATTAGGCCCAAATTAAATCATCGTGGCTAGGGGATAGGATTATTCTATTTGGCTTAGACCAGTGTTTCTCAACTTTTTTTTTTTTTTTTTCATTATTGCCCCACTAATGAGCCCTTTTCAGACTTTTTTTTCCCCCTAATTGCCCCCCCATGAAATTTTAAAGTCATACATAATATTGCATATCTGTTTATGTACTGTATGCTTTATCCATAAAAAGAGTAAGTTTATCACCCCAGCCCCTCCACCTTGGGAGTGATAACACCTCCATTGAGAATGCATGGCCTAGACTAATTCACATTAATCCCTGGAGCTGTGGATGGGGTTGGCTTTCCTTGAAGTACATGTCCATGTATGAGGGCAGTATGGATACAGAGCAAAAATATGGGTTCTGATTGATGAGGAAGTAGTAAGGGGTGAATGGATGCTACTTAGGCAAGCAACGATGGTGACTATTCAAGCTGAGAGAGTTATCAAATCATTTGTTCAAATACTGGTAAGTGGTACAGTCAATTCAGACCAGGACTTCTGACTTCAAATGCAATGCTCCTTCCTTAGTTGCCCATTTTTAGTTCACCTTGGAGGTAACTTCAAAAATAGAATCCTGGGTGTTAGAGTCAGACAGTCCATGGTTTCAAATACGTTTTGTACTTACTAGATGTGTGAACAAGTCATTTGAGCTCTCTGAACTTCTAATCATTTATCTCTAAAGAGAGGAATTATAATTTCTTTATTACCAGACTGTTAGGATTAAACAAATTACTAAAACATGTAAGACAACAAGAATAATGCTTTTGTAAATGTTAGTTCCTTTCCGTGATTACTTTCATTTTTCTCTCTGAAAAATATTAAGTAAAAGACTTAGGAACTCATGGCCTAAGAAATACAATACTTCTAGAATTTATAAAACTATTAGTTTAAAATTAATTTCCTATTCTTTTTCAAAAGTTATTTATTTTATACAATATGAATTGTATAGTTAGCATGCTTTAGGAATTGTCATATCCACAAATGTTCAGGTATAGTTACAATTCTTTACACTATAATCTATGTAAAGGTTGAATGGAAGACTATTTTAAATGGTTTGTGATGTGCTGTGTGCTGGTTGCAGAAAAGCTGAATTTTAGGTATAAAGAAAAATGATAAATTGCTTTCAGTTATATAACTATGACCAGAACAATTAGACACTTACAAAGACTAACGGTAAGATGTTTTATGACTATTCATCTCTTCTTTTTTTCTAGGACAAGTCTATTAGCACTAGTTTACCTGTCCTAGACCTAATAGATGCCATTGCACCAAATGCAGTTCGTCAAGAAATGATCAAGAGAGAAAACCTTTCTGATGAGGACAAGCTGAATAATGCTAAGTAAGCCCTGACGGTTTATAATAGAGTCTAGTGGCTCTTTGAATCTCTAAAATCTGTACAGGAAAGGTTACTATGTCCATAAAACTCATGTTTTAAGTACAACTTTCGTGGGGAATATGATTTAGGATTTACAGACTTAACCTTGTAAAATTAGTCTTATTTATCAAAATATTTCATTCTTTTGTTACAGTATATTACATGAAAGTGCAATAGATGACAAATACCAAGATATTTTTCTTGTCTTTTTAAGATACGCCATTTCGGTGGCTCGAAAGATTGGTGCCCGGATCTATGCGCTACCTGATGACCTGGTAGAAGTGAAACCGAAGATGGTTATGACGGTGTTTGCATGCTTAATGGGAAAAGGACTGAACAGAATAAAATAATGAAACATTTAATATGATTTTCTGCCACCTTAACCACGTTGAATGCCTCACAGTTTACAGAATTCTGAATGTAGTGGACATAAAACCAGAGATAATTTGTATGCTCAAAAATAGTTATATATTCACTAATGAAATCTAGTATCCTGTTCATACTAGGAAGAATTTGTCAACCTTTTTGGATAACAATTTACTAATCAATACTGATAATAGAGTCTGTTCATTATCAAACTGATATTCTATTCTATGATTAAATTATTTTCTTTTCCTGAAAGTTCCGTTAAAACAAGATTAATTCATTCTTTTACATGGTTCAAAAAAGATCAATACAAAAATCTTTTTGTAGGTCCTGCTGTGAAATGTGTTTTGATTTTTTTTGTGTGTTATTTAATTTCGATCATAAATATTCAGTCATAATCCAGTTCAATCTTTCTATTTTTTTCCTCCAAATATGAAAAGTGGTTTAAAAATTTGACTTTTCTGTAAATTCCTATATTGTCAAAAATTTTAAATGATAACTATTGCTCATTAATATTGAACTTTTTTATATAGGAGAACTCTTGAAGAAACTCCGAAGTTCACTGTCTTGTATTAAGTACAGGAACTTTTTACTCAAAACTTAATTTTAACTGCATTGATACTTTACATATGCTAGTTTGATAATAAAGCTTTAACTATGACATGCAGCATATATATGTTGGTAGAATGTCATTAGAGAAATGTGTGTGTGTGGGTATATACATATATGTATTTTATATATATATGTTTTGCACCTGAATTACCCAAGTTTTCTTAAACAGTATGTATAATTGCTTAATTAGCCAACTACAAGTATTTATTGTGCCCCAATACGTGTGGATATTTTCGGCTTGTGGATATCTGGTACCTGAAGATTTCTTTTAGCAATATTCATTTTGAACATGCACACAGTTAATTTTCAACTGACTCCTTCTGAATATTTGTAGCCAAACATTGGCCAGAGCACCCAAGACATGCTTACACTATCCTGTTAGTTTCATATTAAACTTGCTAGTTTTGGTCTATACTGTAGTCCTACATAATTTAGAATATACCCACTGAATAACACAAAGTTAATATTCAATGTAAAGTATTTTTCACACATTTTTTACAAAACCAAAAGAAAGAAAAGACCAAAACTACTGCCTTCGAATCAATTCTGACTCAGCGATGATATAGGACAGAGTAGAACTGGAAAGCCTCCTTCAAATTGGCAGTGTTTCATTACTGCTTGTGTGACCTGTTTTTGTCTGAGTTTTTAGCAGCAGACCTTCCTCCATCTCCTGCTGGTAGTGCCACTGAGCTATATTGCTGTGCAACAAAAATGCTGTCACTTTTATCTCAGTGTGAATGAGAAGTCTAAATCCCTCTTCTACCATGATTAAAACATACATGTTGGTAAGAGTGAGACTGTACACGTTTAGAATAGAATTTTTTAAATGAAATGATCAACACGTAGAATTTTGAAATATATTCTTCTACAAAAGAGCTTTCCTTTCCTTTTATATTTTGATGATTGTTTTCTTATATGAAGACTGATACGTTCTTGCTTTCTTGTGAGACTTTAGATCATGTTTCTTCCTTTGATTTTTTTTTTTTTTCATCATTGCATTCATTTAGTCACCTGATTTAGATGAAATATGGTATTTTGGGGTATTCTTTTTCTCACAAGTATATTTAATAAAAATACTGTGTATGTAGAAATGTGTCAGTATTTTATTTAAAGAAAAAATACACAAGCTTGAAAATCAGTCTAGCATAAGCTGATTTTCCATAAAATGAAAGAGAACAATTCCTAAATTAATTATTAAAACAATTCTATTAGATCATTCATTTCTTTGGGGGTGGGGTATTTCTTTCATGTGCAGAATTTTAGTAGAGGAAAGAGCAACTGTATATTGACTACAAATTTAGTTTGTGCTGAAATAATTTGAGTTAATAAATTAATTCATTAACAAAAATTTATTGTCTGTTATGAGCCAGGTATTATGCTAGACACTGGGGATTTAGCTGAGAAAAACACAAAGTCTCCTGACCTCATGAATCTTATTTCTTGGTGGAGGGAAACAGATGATAAGCAAACAAACAAGGATTTCAGGTAGTAATAAATGCAGTAGAAGAAATAAAACAGGATAATGTGACAGAGACTGACTTGGGAAGTGTGGGAGGGAAGTTCTCCCTGAGGATGTGATATTTGGACTGAGATCTGAATGATGAAGGAGGAGCTAGGTGAGTGTTCAGCAGACGGAGCAAATGCAAAGGCCATGAGACAAGAAGAACCTTGTGGGCATTTCAAGAAAAGAAACAGCAAATGTGGCCCAAGAGTAGTGAGGGAGGGATTCTATTCTACTCATAGGAATAGATCTGAATCTGCATTTTCTCTTCTGCGACTGGATTTGTGACTGTTCTTGTACGTGCAGTTTGGGTGAGTTGCTTTGAGTAATCTACTGCTCCTGAACCTTACGTGCAATTGTTCATCACGACTCTGCCACTGCTCTCCATATCACAGATGCGACATCCATATAGGGTGATAACTGACCCTTATTTTACACATAATATAGAGGGTGTTAAAATACCTTTTGATATTCTGCATCTGAGATGATCCAAGAAACTCCCGAAGAAACAGGATGCAATCGCAACACTGTTTTACTTTAAAGGAGGAATGCTCCCAATACTTGGGCATGCCGCCTAGGATTAGCTACTAGAGCAGGCTGGAATTCCCCCAATCTTTGGAAATTAATCCAGTCCTTACGGGAGTCCTCTGGATAAGGAATCAATTTTCTAAAACAAGAAGCTTGAAAAAGCATCATATTAAAGTGGTTTCTATGCTTTC